ATTTGAAATTTTAAACATTTTCTTCAAAGATCTCATTTTAAACACTTCTTGTAGTATTTGGAAGTCAATGTTTAAATTCGTGACGTCATAAGACATGGATTATAACAATGAGACACTAAAGCTAAGGTTTCAACTAAATCCATGCATATCAAAGACACATGAAGTGTCATGCAGAGGAAGAAAAGTATGGATATAGATTGACAAAATATGTAGAGTAATCGATAAGTTCAGCAAACAGATAGATATATATACCAGAGTGTACCTATAAAGAAACTATGTCAGAAAACGGATAAAGGCAGAGGGGGCACGTCAAGATAAGTAATTTTATTAGCGTTGGAAGTAATAAACAAAAATTTCTAATACATATATTTTCAAAAAAATTAATCAAGTTTGTAACTTTGTGTATAGCCATTACAGTTGTGGGCTTGTCGCAGCTAACGTGCCCATATGTGTGTGTGGTGCACAACGAAGGAAAGGCAAACCTACTGTATGCATGCGTCTACTTGTTCGTGGTAGGTGGTGCACGTGATGCATGGCTAGCTGCTTCTGCCGCTACGCGCTAGCTTCTATTCTAAATAATGGTTTGTGCGATAGTAACCTACTAACGTGGTAGGCGCTATCCCTGTCCGTGGATCGATGCACGAGTCGATCGACTCAACCGGGCGGCCGACAATTAAGTAACTATTAAGTACACTGCCCAGCTGAAGGAATCCGACAACACCTGCAAACCAGGGCCATCCATCCCAGACAATGGCCTGTTCTTGTCTGAATTCCGGAGAAATCTGGATGGTTCGAAGGAATGCTGGAAGAATTTATAAGAAAAAAATATTATCCTAGATAAAAAAAAAAGTGGATCAAACTAAAAACTGAGTTTAAGGACACGTAAACGGGCCGTAGTCATCATGTCGTGCATGTCTGATGTCTCTCACACACACTCAACGATCCATCCGATCCGACTGCACCAAGTACCACCTTCTTACCAAAATAGACATATATATCTTGCCTCGCAAAGAGTCAATTTTTTTTAAAATTGTACAGTAATAAATATATAAAAAACAAAATATTTATAATGTATAATAAATACCACTAGATTAATCGTGAAATACACTTTTATAATAAACTTAGTTGAATATACTATAACTATGGATACTACTTTTTATATGCATAGTCAAATATAAAAAATAACTCTCCAAGAATTGAAATGTTTACTTACTTTTTGAAATAGCCTGCTGTCTATACGGGCACACGATAGCTAATCCATGAAGCTACTCTATTCGCTCTAAATAGTATTACTATGTACCGAGATATATTGTATATGGATACTAGAGACAAGACAAAATAACTTACAATTTGGCCATGTTCAGCTTGCTGAAACTTGGCTGAATTGTTTAAAAACACTGTTCTGGTTGAATTATTGTGAGAGAAAAATATTATTCCGACTGAAAAAACAAGTTAAATAATACGAATTATAAGGTAAGACGAACTGGCCCAAACGAGTGCTATGATATCGCTGGAGCTGCCGGACCGGCCGCTGATGACTAGTATATAGTTTCGGTACGGGGATGTCTGATTGATTGGGAGAAATATCGGACGCATCCTCTGCGCGTGGAAAGCGTGCCCACCCATGCATGCATCTTCATCACCTCCATACATATTTTGCTGACATGCGGCCCCTCTCTCTCCTGAGCACGTCTGGTCTCCAGCACACGTCCACGTTGTAGACCCGGACTTCCAGTCATTTGATTGGGTTATGAGATTCCCAGGTCCAACCAGCCGTTATCATCTCATCTTTGGCTCTATTTAGTTCCACTTCGTTTTGCCAAATTTTTTAAGATTCTTCATCACATCGAATCTTTAGATGTATATATGAAGCATTAAATATAAATAAAAAATAAAACTAATTACACAGTTTAGAGGAAATCTACGAGACGAATCTTTTAAGCCTAATTAGACTATGATTGAACGTTAATTGTCAAATAACAATGAAAAATGCTACAGTGCTCATTTTGCAAAAAATTTTGCATCTAAACTGGGCCTTTGTGTGACTTCTCCCGGCCCCAAACTATACTGCTTCATAGCTAACACTCTTGAAATATAAATATAAAGCTCCAACAACGGGTAGTGAAGCTCACTTCGTGAAGAACACACAAAATAGAGACGCGAGCAAAGATAATGGTCTTAATATGCATTACTAATTGAGATGAAAGGGTTGAGATGGGACCTTATTATATGTATCATGAGTGGCTGTCAAGGATGGTAAGTCCTCGTGGGCGGATCCAAGGGTATTCCCATGTATTTCCGGGAATACCCAACTATTTTGGTGCATTTTTATGTATGTATGTATGTATGTGTTTTTTTGGGGGGGGGGGAATGTATATATGTGTATATACTTGTATATATACGTGTATAATGTTATACTCCGTGGTATTTTCGCAACATTGGAGCCTAATAAACACAGCAAAAGAAACGGTCTTTCGACCTGGCTTCCAAGATCCCACCTTCCCAAGCCGGTCCACTAGGCCCACTCAGCCATTCCACCCCTTCCCCCGACACCCCCTCATCCCTCTCTCACGACTCACGGTCACGGCACTCGACACGGACGCGACGCAGGCACGCTGGGCAAATGGGAAACCCTAGGCAGCGGCGAGGTGGCTAGCCAGCGGCTGGCGCGGAGCAGGCTGTGGCCGGAGGCGCACACCATGCGCGGCCAGCGCCGCAAGCCGCAAGGGAGCAGCAGCGCACCAACCGGTAGGTGGGCTGGTGGTGGCGGCCACCAAACGGGGAGGGACGGCCGGCAGAGGCACATAAGGTGTGTTTGGTTACCTGGCTTCCTTCTAACCGGGCTAGAAAATAAGACAAGCTAGTTTAAGCATGCCTCCAGCAATGCAAGATGAACTTGTTTGGTTGCCTATACTATCTAAGTCTGCCTAGCATGTAGCTTGTTTGGTTGGCTAGGATAGAGTCACCTCCTTGGCAGGTAACTTCACCACCTTTGAGGCATTTCATCGAACACGTGCTGGGCAGAGGGAAGGACTGTGGCCGTGCTCCTCGTCGTGGTGGACATCAAATGAGTGGTGCGCGGAGGACACGGCGAGCCTCTGGGTCGGCCTCGTCGTCGGCGTGCCATCCGACATGGGCTCAAAGAAAAGCCCGGACGCACCCCCATCGGCCAAGCCAAGGTCGCACCCGCACCCTAGCCCGGCTATGGAATCTGCCGCCGTGGCCATCGAGACGGTGCTGTTCCCTGCTCCTCACCGCGCGGGGGCTCCCCGTCCACTTCGTCGCGCCGGAGCCGCAACTCCGGGAGGACTGGGCGCGCCTGCACGGCTGGGGCCCCGGCCCTGACGTAGCCCTCCCCGCGGCGGTGCGCTTCCCCGCGCTCGACGTGCCCGCGCACGAGTCCCCCGCCCCCGGACCCTTCCTCCCCATTCCCGGCGCACATGCAGCCGCCCTTCGAGGCCTACTGCGGCGGCGCGCGGGCCCCGCTGGCCGCGCTCTTGACGGAGCTCGCCGCGACCCACCGCCGCGTCGTCATCCTCCATGACCGCATGGTGGCCTTCGCGGCGGCCGAGGCCCCGCGCTTGCCCAACGCCGAGTCCCTCGGTGTGCACTGCCTCGCCGGCTGTGGGAGAGCTGGGCGCGATGCTTCGAGCGGCCGATGACTTCGCGAGCAGAGGAGGCGAGCAAATGGGAGTGGAGGGGGTGACGGGAATTGGTCAGCGAGCTGGCCCAAGCCTGGCCACGGAAAAACGGAATGCCATCTCGTTTTTCCAGAGCATGGCTAAGGCCTCTAAGTGGCTTAGCTGGGCCTGGCTACGGCCGCGCCCACTAGGCCTACTGGTTGCAGGAGGACGACCGACCCCTGACCAGCTCTGTGGACTGTGGCCATTGGCCACTGGTGAGGGATTTAGTTATTTAACGATTTGGATTTTGGATTTAGGAATGTGAATGTGTGGTTGTGATTTTTAGTTAATAGTTAGATTACTTTTGGTTAAATGGTTTGCAAAATGAAGAAGAAATTAATCGATTTCTACTTATTTTTTCACATCTATTTTATGTGTAAATAATTTGTTATTTTATTATTTTTGTGACTTTAATTATGGTAAAACGCTACTATGTACTATATTTAAAACCTATGCTGCTATGCATTGGATTTTCTTTTGGACTTGGGAATACCCAAGTTTAAGATTCTGGCTCCGCCACTGTAAGTCCTTGCAGTTGAGTTATTCTAGCTTACGAGACTAATCGGAGGTGATGTGATGGCGATGCAACATGTCTCTTGTGTGTAGACTTAGCCTGTTCGGTTGGCTGGTTCGTATCGTTGCTGGTTCGTGAAGAAGTACTGCTGATTGGTTTGTGTGAGAGAAAAATACTGTTCCGACTGAAAATTTACGATCGTTTACGACAAGCCACAGCCAAATGAATAGGCTGTTGGTGGAAGCCTAGTCTACGTGAGGAGCTTTCTCTTTGTTTACTTCGTTGTAAGTCCATTAAGAAATCTCTACTTAGGGACTGACTTTTTTGTTTTTAGTCTGTTATATAGCTCTTGTTTTTTTTCAGACTTATATCTATAAAATGAGTTCAGTAGGGGTCTTTTCCTCTTGGTTTTCTCAAAAAAAAAATGGTAGTTGACGATGACGGTGAAGATCAAGTAAGGTTCGTGCCACTGTGCCAGACAGCCAGAGCGGTCAAGGGTGGACAAGAGGGCTTCAACGACCAAGGCCTAAAGGACTACATTATTGATAGGGACATTTTGGGAAAATTGATTTCATATCACGGAAAGAACGTGAGAATTGGAAAATACCACCGAAAGTTCGTCATGCCGTAAAATACTATTGAAAGTGAGTATTTGTTCCGCAATCTAGCACTCCGTTACTTTCGCTGTTAACGTCGTTGATTGCGTCCATCCGAGGACTCGGCTTCAGTGCTTCACTCAAAATTCAAAAACGAGCAGGAGCCATGGGAGGACGTCGAGAACAGCCTGTATACGTCGCATCAACCTAGGCTGGCCTGCGGTGGTACAGCCTCGTCCCAGGCAGCTCGGAGCTCAAGCCCAGCGCCTGTCCTTGCCTCGGACGTTGCCGCCTAGCACTCCAGCGCCGACGCCCTACGCCGCCAGAGGCGCACTCGCCCCGGCTCGCCGAAGCTACCTCCGCCGGAGCTGCGCCGCACCAGCCTACGACTCCACCCACAGCAGCCAGTCGTCGGAGCTCGCCACCACGACCCACGGGCAACGGGGCCTTTCCGCCTCCACCCCGCTGCCCGGAGCTCCCCGCACTGGAGCCGAGTGCGGTTAGCACAGAGCACCTGTGCGCATCGAAGCCGACGCCGCGCCGAAGGCCGGAGCTGAGGGCCGCCGGCACCAAGACAGTCGCCACCGCCGGTCTGCTCTCTCCTTTTCCCTCCGTCCACTCGCCACTCGGACAGGCGCCGCTAGTGGCGCTGTGCGCGACCGTGCTGTCGCGGTTGCGGTCCAGGAGCGACCGACGATTCTTGCACCGGGTACCAGCTCGCCGGACTCCGCCAAAACGAGCGCTTTCGGCTTTCTCACATGGAAAAGGACGACGTGTGCATGCACCAGCCCAATCGGTCCGTGGATGTACTGTGAGGACAGTCGGCTGCTCGGCGTCCACTGATGTGCGTGCTCTCCCAAGAGGACGGCGGAGACGCACGATCCGTTGCTGTCCACGGGTGTCCAATCCGGCATTTTTGCTCACGCTGAGGCCCGCGATCGACGCAGTTACCTGCCCCCGCAGCTTCCGGTTGGCGGCACCCATCTCGGACGCGTTCGCGGTTGGCCAGCCGTCGACCACAGCGTCGAGGCCCACCGAGAACCCACATACCTCGGGAGGTCGCGGGCGCCGCACGGCGCCACTAGCAGCATCGCCGCTGCTCTGCTCGCCATGTCACAGGCATTCGTCCTTTTTGGCTTCGGCGAACAGTTCGGCCGGCGAGTAGTAGATGGATGGAGGAGAAGAAGGAGCGTACGTCCCAGGCTCCCAACGGGTGGAGACAGACGCGTTAGCTCCGAAGGTGACGGAACATGATGGAATGCTACTTTCAGTTAACGTTTGCATCTTTGAATGATTTTTTACGTGACAGAGCTCTTTCGATAGTATTTTTTGATTCATGTGATCTTTTAATGCTATAGAACCAATATGAAGAGGGCTTGCAGAAGCGACAAAGACAACGTTGACTGAATCATTAAGGCAGGATTGAGATTGTAATGAACGGAAAACTCCGTCCTTGCTAAACCAAAAATCCAACCGTGTTAAAACTCAACTTTTAATAATACATTGTCAACCTTAAATCGACTAACGACCTAATTTTTTATAATTTGACTTTTTTTTAAAGAAAATTTACGTTCGGTCCCCTGAGAGACTTAAACTCATCTTTGAACCCTGGGGGTCAGCGTCAGTACTCATGGTAACGAGGTAACACGTCTCGGCGCCACAGATTTTGACGCCGAGGTGCCTGGCCGTGCATAACAGGGCATCCTAGGTGTCGTTCATGTGACGATACCTCAGCGCCAGAATACATGGCGCCGAGTTGACGCCAAGATCTATGGCGCCGAGCTCGGATTCAAAGCGTGTGGCCCTCTCGCGCTCTATCTGCATGAGAGAGAAGGGTGTGGGGACCGTCCGGTAAAGTGCATGCAGCAATGCAGTGCCTGTAAGTTAGAAGCAGCAGATGGTGCAGCGACCGGCAGCCTGTTCGGGAGGCCGTATCGTATCGTGGATTATTTACTGCTGGCTGGTTTGGTGTGAGAGAAAAACACTGTTCTCACTGAAAATTTACGATCGTTTACGAGCAAGCGAACAGGCTGCGAGGTTGTGACGAGTCACATCAGCTAGCCCCTAACAATGTATGGATAGTCATTTCTTTAATACCAGCACTAGGTAGAGTGTCTGTACGTTGCTACGGGACAACTAAATCTTTTGTACTAAAAACACACGAATCACACGATAAGATAACAATACTGTTAAATTAAATACCGACGTTAAAGGAATATTTAATTCAAAAAGCAAAGTTCGTGAAATTAACATAGTCACGGAGAGTGCGGCGTCGCATGCACACAAATTCTACTGTATAGACTTTTTATATTGGCAGAAAGAATTCTCCGATATCTATTTCTTTCATGCGCCAATAAATTCATGAATAAGTTCCGCTGCATCTCCATATAATCATGTACACACAGGTTCGAGTATATATGTAAATATTAGTGCCTGTCACATGGATAATACTGCGTGTCTTAAAAAAATCTCTCATAAAATTTTAAAACAAAGTATGTTATACTCACCGTATAAATATGTGTGGCTTTAGGACTATTCCACACAGACATATATTGTAGAATAAGGTATCCACTTGAGTGTCTGTTCCAAGATGTTGAATTAGGTTTGTAATTCTTAATTTCGACACATTTTTCAGGTCAAGGCAACCAATGGTGACACTTTTTTAGTGGTGCATAATTTTATGGTGCACCTCTTACTATCTGAGTAAGGACAAGTTAGTACTGCAAAGGCTCAGAAAAGCTGCTGAGAAGCCCAAGGTTGATTTTCCTCCACTATGCATACTAAAACATATGTCCCTGTTTATCATTGTCGATGCTTTTGATGCAAAGCAATTCAACATTACCATGATCAGATATAAGTTTGAGTCTCTTGTGAGCAATCTCATAGAGGGACTCTCATTCGTTATATGATCTGCCTCAAGGATATTGGTAGAACGATGGACCCATGTTGTAATGTCGCACCAAAAAGTGTTCACATTTTGTCCACGATTTATTTCCCATGAATACATGTGGGTACTATGATAACACTAACTACACCAAATGAAAGATTAGAGAGAATTTGCATTGCCTCCAGAAGAATTTATTTATTAAGTTCTTTGGACTCTACATGTAGTTTTGAAATATCTGTTTGCATGTCTTATCTCGTATCCTAATTCAAAATGTTGTAGTTTAATTAGAATATTTAGGTGATTGTATATATATAATATTCAATACAAGAATAATCTATGCATGATCTTCTTGAAAGATTTCTGCAGTGTTAAGACATCTTCATTTTTCATGCATGCCCGTGCTAACGCTACGGTAAAAATAAAAGAACAATATATCAATTAAAAAATAAAAACAAAACTCATGCTCAAAGTCAAAGAGATAAATTATGGATGCTTGAATTTTGTCATCCATTATCTACCGGCGTGCCTATAAAATAGACTGAGTAACAATTAAACATAGATAGAAAACTAAATTATTGAAAGGATCATTACAACTTTACAAGACATCAATCATCTTATAGATTCGGACAATATCGCAAAGCTATTAAAAACTGTAACCGTGCCCTCATCTCAAACATTGTCCAGATAAATGGATTGCAACGAAAGAAATGGATATCGGAGATTTTTTTCTGCCAATATAAAATATTATCTTAGCCGCATCACGGAAAGGTCTATAAAGTAGAGTTTATGAGCCTACGACGCCGCGCACTCCGTGACTGTGTTAAATTCATAAACTTTGCTTTTTGAATTAAATGTCACTTTAACGTTGGTATTTAATTTTTACAGTATTGTTATCTTATCGTGCGATCCGTGTGTTTTTAGTATAAATTATTAGTTTTCCCGTAGCAACGCACGGGCACGCTACCTAGTATAAATATAAAGAATGAAAAAGACGACAAGAAAGATTGCCATTAGGCCAACTCCTTTTGATTCTTTACAAACACATCTGAAAGTTAACATGTGGGTTGTGGGCATCAAATCAAAACAACAAAAAGAACATGGATTCGACCATTAATTTTATCAACACCATCAATTTTTGGCAATTGTAGAACTCAACCAAGACACCTATTGAAGTGCTACATCTCTAGCTCGCAACCCAATTAAGAGTAAGTTCTCACAAGCCTAGCTCCCCAGTCATTATTAAACTGCATGAAGGGCTCCGAAATGAAGACCACTATTTAAAAAAAGAGTAAATGATTATTGTTTCCTTCCATGCATGATTATTGTTTTCTTCCATGCATGATTATTATTTTCTTTCATGCATGATTATTTCCTTCCATGCATGATTATCGTTTCCTTCCATGTATGTGACCTCAGGTGATCGATTTGTTTCCTTCAAAGCAGGTGGGGATCGCAGGGATGGCAGTTTCTTTTTCTATCGCACGGAGTATCGCACGGGGTGGGCAGACGGACGGACCAAAACAAATGTCGCACCAAAAGATATCCACGCTTTGTTCTTTTTAGTTGTAGGAGATATTTCATCTTATTGGACCATATTTATTACTTCTGTTTATGCGTAAGTTCTATGATCAATTGGTTAACTGATTATTCGTAAATAGAAATAGTTAAAATTAGAATAGTTATATGATCATTTGTTTGCCTATTTTATTTTCTGTATGTTTTATTTGGTTCCCTTTTATAATTTTCCAATTTGGGTTCCATAGAAATAATCTGACTATTTTTTATTTTCTGTATGTTTTTATTTGGATCTCCTTTGATATTTTACAATTTAGTTTACATAGAAATAATCTGACAATCTTTTTTGTTTTTATTTTCTGTATGTTTTATTTGGTCCTCCTTTGATATTTTCTAATTTTCCTTACACATAGAAATAATCTGGCTAATTTTTTGTGTTATTTGGATAGTTTTTTTTATCATTTGATCTAGATCCTAGGGTCATGATAATCAACTGTTGCATGAGAGAACATGTTCCTTCATTCATAGAGTACTTAGAAGTGATTGTGTACAATCGACTTGGATGACAAGTATGTTTGCAAGATGCACACGTATTCTCAAGGCAACAGCAATGTATGGAACGAATTTTCATAAATAACTTGACATCCACTGTTACATTGTTCCCAATATTTAGAATCGAGGACTAATTAAACCTATACGTGGAACTCGTTTTATAAAAAAAAAATCTCTAACAGCAACAACGCGCACGAGAGAAGGGAGCAGTGAAGAGAATAAAAGAGAAATTATTGTTCTTTTTCTAGTACCGGGTTTTATATAAAGGAGTGACTCTTCTACAGATTTTGACTCCACAAGGTAAAGACTCTGGTTCCATGACCAATGAGCAAACGAGCAGTCTAAGAAACGCCCATTAGGCACGCTCTAAGATTTAAACATCTTTAAATTTTCAACGAAGAATTAACCCAAGTATTTCTCCGATTGGCGACAAACAAAAAATCGAGTGATTCCTGTGCATGCAACAGTTGATTATCATGACCCTAGGATCTAGATCAAATGAACAAAAAAAAACTATCCAAATAACACAAAAAATTAGCCAGATTATTTCTATGTGTAAGGAAAATTAAAAAATATCAAAGGAGTACCAAATAAAACATACAGAAAATAAAAACAAAAAAGACTGTCAGATTATTTCTATGTAAACTAAATTGTAAAATATCAAAGGAGAACCAAATAAAAACATACAGAAAATAAAAAAATAGTCAGATTATTTCTATGGAACCCAAATTGAAAAATTATAAAAGGAACCAAATAAAACATACATAAAATAAAATAGGCAAATAAATGATCATATAATTGTTCTAATTTTAACTATTTCTATTTACGAATAATCAATTAACCAATTGATCATAGAACTTACCCACAAACAGAAGTAGTAAATATGGTCCAATAAGATGAAATATGCTAGTATTAAAGAAATGACTATCCATACATGGTTTGGGGCTAGCTGATGTGACTCGTCACAACCTCGGTCGCTGCACCATCTGCTGCTTCTGACTTACCAGGCACTGCATTGTTGCATGCACTT